CCCATTTGAGATTCTTCTATAGAGAACTCTGTTTAGATCTGAACACCATTTTTTAATTGGATCATTTTGTATTCCTAGAGTTGTGGTCAGGCACACAGGTATCTAACTGTGTATCCAGCATTTTTCAATCCACTGTTTTCAAATTACTACAATGTAGTGAGCTGCGGAAAACCTTAACAGAATTCAGAAACAAGGGGTGTGTTAGGAGGCTGTTTGTTTGTTCCCGGCAGCCCAGACTCAAAATAAACACACAGAAACTGTGTTAATTAAATCACTGCTTGGCCTATTAGCTCTAACCTCTTATTAGCTAGCTCTTACATCTTAATTTAACCCATTTATATTAATCTGTGAATCACCACAAGGCTGTGGATTACAGGCAAGTTTCTGTCTAGTGTCTAACTCTGGTGGGGCTACATGACTTCTCCCTGGTCCTGCCTACTTTCTCCCAGCATTCAGTTTGGTTTTCCCCACCTCCCTCTACTCTATCCTATCACAGGCCAAGGCAGATTCTTTATTCATTAACCAATAAGAGTGACAAATGTACAGAAGGACTTCTCACCAGAGGATGAAGGGAAGGAATTCAACCCAAACTTGTTCTTGGACTAAGATCCACTGTGAGGAATAAAGAAACACAATAACAAAACACTAACCTCTCTCGTTTCCATCATGGTTTGAACTCTTCAGATTTTATCACTGCAGTAAAACAAATTCGATGAAAAGATTGTGATGTGGGGCTCCCCACTGTGTATTATGAATGCTTTATTAACATTAGATAATAAAGAAGCTGCTCTGGCCTATGTAAGGGCAGAATACAAGTAGGCAGGATAACTAAACTAAATACAGGGAGAAAAAAAAAAAAACAGAGACAGGCAGACACCATGTAGCACCAAAGGAGAAAGATGCCATAAAATTACTGGTAACTCACAACCCTGTGTAGATACACAAATTAAAAGAAATGGATTAATTTTGCATTTAGTGGTGGCACATGCCATCAATCCCAGCACTGGAAGGCAAAGGCAGGTGGATCTTTCAGAGTTCAAGGCCAGCCTGGTCTACAAGAGCTAGTTCCAGACTCCAAAGCTACAGTGAAACCCTGGTTTGAAAAAAAAAATCAAAAGGAGAAAGGAATGGGTTGATTTGGGATATGTGCTAGATGGGAATACACCTGAGGCGTTGGCCAAAGAGTGTTGTACTTAATATAGTTTTTTGAGTGATTATTCAAGTCTGGGTGGCCAGGAAACAGAGAAGCAGTCTCTGTTTACAAGATTGACTCCTCCTTAGTTTTAGCTGTTTGGCTCCACTATCTTCTGACACCATTAATTTGGAGCTAGGTGAAAAAACCGTCATTACTAGAACAATACCAAAGAGACCAGCCAGAAAGTGGGGACAGAATTAGATACACCTTTCAAGACATGTTCATGAATTGACCATTGATGGAGGTAGTTGCCACTGCCCCAATCGCTTCTTTCCAGGGCCACCTTATGGAGACCAAGCTTTCAATACATGGGCCTTTTGGGGGGAATACTTCAGTTCCAAACAATAGTACTAGTCCATCCTGGATCCTTAGATAGCACTTGTAATGCTTGCTATAAAGTCCTTATCTGTTCATTCTATTATCTCATCTACTGTTTCTACGTTAGTTCTGTTGGTGAAATTTACATCTGCTGTAGGTTTATGTTTGATTTTTTGAGGGGCATGGTAGCTTATACTGTTGAGTGGGTTTTATATGATTCTAAAAAGAAAACTGAGTTGTGTCCTGGCAGAAAATTTAATTGAAGATTAACTTGATCCATCTGAAACTTTAAAGTGCTGCTACTAGGCTGTAGGATACTACACTGGTGGACTTAGCACTTTTACTTAGGACTAAAACTAAGGGCATGAACTTCCAAAGTTCTCTAGCAATTGCCTGAGTGTCCATGAGATCTCCTACCACATGCAGACAGAATTCAAACCCCCCAAACCTATGAAACTTTGATAGTGTCGACTCACAGCCTCCCTGCAGCTGTTCTTTCTCTGGCCACGGCTCTTTTCTGGGCCTGAGCAATCCCTTCCTAGACAGGCACAGTCTAGTATTGCATCACATGCTCAAAGGGAAACCTACACAAATTTCAGCAGTTGCTGAATAGTCTACCTTCTTTTTCGTTTTCTGCCTCCTAAGTCCTAACTGGCAAATCTCTCGCGTCAGCAAAGTGCCATGCTGTGATGGCTGTTCTTGGCGTTTACTTGACTGCATCTAGAATTAACTAAAACTCAATAGGCTGGGGTCACCTGTCAGGAATTCTTCTTACTTAAGTCACTTGAAGTAGGAAAAAAAACCCTTTAATCTGAATCCTTTTAATAGGAAGATCCACCTTTCATCTGGGCCATAGCTCCTGATGAATCCAATGGAAAGGACATGGGAAAAGAGGCTCTATGCTTTACACCTGCTGCCCTCACTCTGGATGGCAAGTCCATCTCTTCACTGGCATTAGAGCCCACTTCTTCAGGCTTCCAGCCTATACTAAAGACCAGCTGAGACATTCAACCTTGTGAGATGAACTGGATTCTTGGACGTTCTGCTGGTAGACAGTCAGTGTTGGACTGGCAGACCCACAGTCTGTAAGGCAGGCTAATAAACCCTACATGGATAGATATAGATATATAAGTATAAAATATATAGATTCTTCCTATTAGCTCTGTTTTTCTACAGAATCTTGACGAATAAGCATGCTGTCTCTGTAAAGCCTCTCTGTACCGTGGTCTAAGTGTCTCTAAAGCTGGGCCCAGCACTCAGTAGCAGAGCATTTTCCTATCATTGGTTACCGGGATTTGTTTTGTCTTCTCCCTTTTTTTTTATCATTTATTGTATGGAATACTTTATTTTGCTTTGGGGCAAATGATGTTTTGGATGGGAGGGAAACTGTGGACTGTGTCTTTGCTACTGTCCTATTGCTGAGATCTAACATCATGAACAATCAGACTTAACAGAGAGCGTGATCTCTCTCAGCATCTGTCTTTATTTCAACATTAATATATTGGAAGTGGGCCAGATCGCCAGACAAGAGTCATGACAGGTTTATAATAGCCCCTAAACACGGAGTCACCAAGCAATCCTCTAGTAACCCATAAACTTTTTGTTTAAACCCACCACTCAGCAACCAGACTAATCTTTCCTATATGGAATTCCCCTAACCCTAACCCGGTTTAAAAGGTGGGCCTGTGAGCCTCTCGGGTCATCGCTATGTGCCACCCAAACATGTTGAATTTTTATAACATAGCCTTCCATACTGGATTCATGACTGGTGGTGTTTGATGGAGCTACTCACAGACCCTAACATCCTGGTGCTCCTCTTCTCCTTACACCGTACATTTTGTAATTATTTTGGCTTCATTTGTTCCTTTGCAGGATAGAACTGCTTGAAAGTAATTACTAAAATCCAAGTGACAGCTCCATGTTAGGTGCTGAAATTTCTTATGATAAGGAAATTAGTTCAAAACTTTTCAATTTATCCTGAAGCAGACTCTTTGGACAAGAGCAAAAACCAATCACATTCTTTACCAAAATTTCACAGGTATGGTTTCTAGCTCAGTTGCTAATATTGTTCCCATTTGCAAGCCTGGCTCCTACTAGAATGGCCCATTGAGCCCCCATTGCAGTATTCAACTGCTTTCCTCTCACCCAAAGTCCAAAAGCCTTTCGCATTTTTCACCCAAGCAGTATGGTCAGGCCTGTCACAGCTTTAGCCCCACTCCCAGTAGCAACTTCTGTCCTCTTTTCTTTTCTATCTCTATGACAAACAGCATAACCAAGACAACGTATACAAGACAACATTTCATTTGGGACTCTTAGTTCCAGAGGGTTAGCGTCTAAGACAGTCATGGCATAGAGCATGTCAGTAGGCCTGGCCGTGGAGCACTAGCTGGGAACTTACATCCGATGAACAAGGCATGGGTCGGGGGAGAAAAAGGGGTAGAGTAAGGAAAAGAGGGGGAGAGAGGAGAGAGTGCTAACTGGGAATGCCATGGCCTTTTGAAACCTCAAAAGTCATTCTCAGTGACACATCTCCTCCAACAAGGCCACACCTCCTAATCCTTCCCAAATAATTCCATGAACTGAGGAGCAAGAAATCAAATACATGAGACTATGGGGGCCATTCTCAGGCAACCTGCCACAGTCTGGCGCCTGATACTCAGTCTGGGTGAAAATGAGAGTCCCAGCATTAATTTTCTCATTGGCAGTATTTCTGTCAAATATCTAAAATAATGACTTTATTTCTATGTTAACTTTCTAAGTCAGGAAAGGATTATAACTGAATCATTTAGACAGGAAAAGATTATCAATAATTCGCACGGCATATGACAGTCTATGCCTTAAGCCAAATGTCCACAGCTACATAAACTAGGCTGTAGGGTTAATGGTATTACTACTGCAATGACTGCAGTGCAGATATGTGATATATAAGGACAAGGCCAGAAGACGGCTTGAACAAGACAGGGCAAATGAACACTTAGTAGAAGTCTAAGAAGATGTGTACATCAGTTACTTGTCTCTTGCTGTGCTAGAATAGCATTATAAAAACAATGAAAGAAAACATTTTTGTTATGGTTCTAGAGGGGCAGCATACAGCATGACAGGGGAGGCATGGCCACAGTCAGGGGAAGGCTGAGCGCAGGAGCAGGAAACCAGCTGACCACATTCTCCTTCATTCCCAGGGATCAGAGAGAGAGAACAGGAAACTGGGGAGGCATTGCACACACAAAACCCTCACCCACCAGGGTCATGCTTTTTCCAACAAGGTTCTACCTCGTTTATTCTGTGAAGGAGACAGAATCTTTAAATCTACTGACTTATATCCCCATATTTCTTAGTTGAAATTTCAGGGAAGTTTTCAGGATGAAAGAAAAACATGAGGAATGGCAAATTATACTCTACTTTAATTTTTATTTTATATTTTAACAACTTTAAACTTTATTACATAAAAATTGCATTAACACAAATGAAACATAATGAACAGAAAAGTGAGATACAAGTATATCAAACATGAAATTGATTATTCTATAATTGGCAATGTCAAGGTTAAATAGAAAATCCCCACTGCCACAGTGGGAATTGAATATAATAATAGTAATCTAAAAATCAAGTAAACAAACATAACTTTAAATTAAATAAAACTGTTCAACTGATTCAATACAATCCCAGTAAACCTGAGGTTGGGATTCACTGAGACCTGAGATAAAAATGGATATTTACTATTACAGTTATTTTCAATCAGCTTCCAAAACTAAGGCTGGACCCATTAATTCTGGGAAAGCCTGTGTATTTGGATGACCATAATGCTTGCCTTTACAGTCCTGGACAAGCAGGCAGTAGTTGGCCATATCCACTGGCCACACAGGTCTACATAAATCTTGGACAGCAGGCAGCAGCTTAGCCACACCCTTGAGCCACACAGGTCTACATGGGTCCTGGATAGGGAGTCAGCAGCTTGACCATATCCTATGATCACACAGGTCTAGTTGAGCCCTGGACAGCTAGGCAGCAGCTTGACCACATCCTATAGTCACACAGGTCTACATGACTCCAAGACAGGCAGGCAGCAGCGTGATCACATACTAAGGTCATATATGTCTACTACCTAGGCAAGTCTAATAGAGTTTGATGAGTCAGAAAAGAATCACTTGGTACAATTCATGAATACTCAAATGTTAAAAAAAATACACAAAACCCCCCAGCTTCAATTTAGCAGCTCCATCACCAGCATTAGAGATTCTAGTGGACACTGCCTGCCTCCTCTTGTTGTTGTCCCTCCTGATCTCCAGTGGAGATAGCACTGTAATGGGACATGCCTTTCAGGGATAAACAGTTCAAACAAGGAATACAGTTGATAGATATAATAATAACAAAAAAATAATAGAATATAGAAATAATATTAATAATAATAGAAATTGACAACTGCCAAGGTTTACAAATGAGTTAATGAAACAAACTATCATGGAGGGGAAAGAAGACAAAAAAAAACAATTTATAAACTAAATCCAGCATTAGACAATATATTGAAACGTGTTCTTGCGTGGGTTGAACAGCAGTTCCTATGCTTGCGGTAGTTACATGCATCCTATAGGCCGCACCGGGCGAGACTCCCCAAGTTAGGACTACATTGAAGAGAGTGGGATTCATGCCTGTTGGACAGCTCAGTATCTGTTTTCAATATTTTCAAGCCATCCTGCTTGAGGTATAGAGAGGCATCGATAGAAAAGTACATGGGTGCCATAGCAACCGGGAGGAGGTTGTTACAGTAAGTGACTGTGCAGGATCTCCGATACCATCCTCTTCCTAAAGATGGGCATGTGCTGCTGAGAAAAGGTGGCAGGTTGGTCTCTAGAAATGTAATCTGCATATTTGCAGGTAAACACGCCACAGTCGCTCCCGTTCAGCTGTTGAGGAATCTCCTCTGATGTCATGCTGTATTGCTTCCACTCAAAAGGGTTCAGCTCAATGTTCCTTCGAGTCTTGCTCTCATTTTGTAAATATTGAAAGATGGTCTCACAAATGCTCTGTCCTGTGTGTCCCATTGAGTCATAATATTTAATACTCTGTTTTCTGAGGTCGATTTCTATCAGACTCCAATGTGCGTTCTGGTGGATAGGCACTAAAATAATTTCCTTTTCAAAGAGATCCATTGCTCGAGTCCATCTCTTCACAGCACTGTAGCCGCCATGTTTTAGCTTAGGGTAAAAAAACGTGATAAACACATGAAGAGCAGGGTAGCTTTCCTTTTCACTTCTCTTAACCAGAAGATTCATGTAAAAATTCATTACCTGGTCATTGAGCCATTCACCAGGCTCTAGGGTCTGGATATCTCCTCGAGTAATGCGCAATTTGAATGCACTACTTAAGATTTCCTCTTGGGGCCCTGGACCTAGTGCCTTCTTGATTTCTTTTTCCATGTCCTCGGTAATATCACAGACTTCATCTGTTCCTCTGAACTGTCCTTCCTCTGCAACAGGCTTTTCCTTTGTTGGAAATATGGGCGTCTTGTTGGGAAGTAACCTGCGGCTGCCACTATGCAGGATTTGAGCCTGTATTCCTTGCAAGTCAGACTCCAAGTGGTGTCCCCTTCTTTCTTCAAAGTATACTCCAGCTTTCTTCTTTGTATCAGAAGATTCTTCTGGACAAATCTTTACTATTTTGTCTGGTGACAGACATTCTCTTGTGGCAACAAGAGTGGATTGAATAGCATCACACTTAGTTGTTCTGTGTCCATGACTGTGTTCTTCCACACACCCTTTAACCTTCAAACTATCCTTAAGTGAACTGTGAGCCCTGGGTGGGTCAGAGATCATGTCATCATTGCGTTGAAGGTTCTGCTGTACCTTTTGGTACTTTATCCTATGGTGGTCTATAGAAAATTCCTTCATGACCCAATAGGGCTGCTTAAGGCCCTTGCCACCATCAGGAGATTTTCTCCCGGTTACAGCCTGCTCCTGTGGACCCTTGGCCACGTCTAGGATCTTTACTTGTCTTGGCCTCTCTTCCCGGGCTTTCCGTGGCTGCTCCATGACTGCCTGTTCACTCTGAAGCCATACATCTTGCTGTTCCTGAGCTAGCCTCTTCTGAGCCTTGCTGGACTCTTCAAACTTCCAATCGGTTCTACCCTCATCCTGGAGTTTCAATTTTCGACCATGTCTCAAAGCTTCAGACTCCGTGTCCGTGCCTCCTTCCTCCTGGTGCTTCCTTTTTCGACATTGTCTGGAAGCTTCAGGCTTCATCTCCATCCCACACTGTTCCGGGTGCCACATGGTATCACTGTGTGGATTGCCTGTGTTGGGTGCCTGACCCCGATGTACGGAGAACCACTTATTGCAGTAAATAAAGATTCACAAGTTGGTTTAAGAAATTTACCGGTCACTGGATGAAGAGCTTTTCTTCATAAACACAGTCGATTTGGGGTTTCGGCTTCAGTCAGAGTATGAGGCCAATTGAGTGGTCAACGTCGGCAACCGATTGGTGAATCAATCAAGAGTTGGCAGTTCAGCAGGGTCCACTGTGGGAAACCCCGTAGACTTCTAGGACTACTTCCTTATTTGAGTCCCTCTCGAGTAAAGTAACCAGGTAAGGAACCAGGTCGTCAAAATCAGACAGACTGTCCTCCTCAGTGTAAGACACCAGGTCTTACCCGCGAGGCAAACACATCCGAGGCAAGCCTCACAAGTGATACCTGAGTCCGAGGTTGCCCTAGATACAGCCTTCAACATTCCACAGCTGGTTGTGATGTGACCCGAGAAAACTCAACGTTCTTTGGAGGGTGGTGGCCCTGCTCACCCCCAGCTGGGTTGAGGAGTTGGAAGACAGGGTTGGAGGGCTGTGAACTAATCACATGCATCTCTGTTCCCTTCTGTAGAGCACAAGGTTACCCAGATTATCTCAGCATAACCTAGTTCATCCTGATTACAAATTTTTATCACTCAGAAAATTTTACCTCAGGGTCAAAAACAGAAAACAAAATATAATTGCCCTTCAAAATGGCTCCTCACAATATGCTTATTAATTGCAAAGAATAAGCAGAATTTCACATTTATAAAACCCAGTAGGTACTGTTGTGTGACAAAACGTCGCATAGGGAAATGAAGCATATGTCTCCTCTCACCACATAGGGAGCCCTGGATGGACCAAAGTACAGATAACACCAAAGTTCAGCTCGGTGAACCAATGAGTTTTATTGGGGTTACTTACAAGAATATGGGTGAGGGGTGTCTTACAGAAACAGAAATGAAGCACAGACAGGTGCATCACCATAGCCCATCCTCAGCATGGGTGACAGCTCACAGAAGCCGGGACCCTGGAAGCACTGCACACCTTGCAGACAGATCAACTGGCTGCACAGTGTCCTTTCCACGTGACTCCGTGGTTCTAAACCTCTTCAAAGCAAACGATTTCCGTCTGGTTCTGCTCCTTCTAGGCATCTGGTCTGTGGTTGGGTCTTCTGAGAGGCTTCCTTGCTGTTCAGCTTCCTTCCATTTGAGAGAGACTCTCAGCTTTTATTGCTTACAATCCCAGGGAGGGGCCTAGTGAATCTGGTTGGTTTCGAGCACTTTTGGACTCTCTTGAATTGTTTGCCTTCCCACTTAAGGAGCTTCCCTTCAGAGATGAATGCTTCAATCTTTGAGGAAACTTGCACTACAGGTCCCAACTCACCAGGGATCAGTAAGTTACCATGAGAGAGTAAATAAAACCTCGGCATTGTCAATAGAATTCACTGAGAAAAATATACTCGCTGCCTTGGTGACAGTCCTGGCAATAACAGAAGCTCTGAACTCATGCCTAGAAGACCCTAAGAAGAATTCTACCAGAGCTGGAGTTACATGCATGTGGGTTTTCGGTGGGGGCAGGGATCTGAATGGCAGTCACCATGTTTGGACAACAAGCACTTTCAATACTGGTTATCTCTGACTTTGAGCCTCTCAATTACTTTCAAAGGTACAGAGACTTTTTATAAATATGTGGGCAAACAGTCAAGTCACACATTGTGTGTTGCTCACACTGAAATATGACCACTTAACAAACTGTGCAAGGATATTTACACCAGTGATTTACTGGAAGGAAAAGGTATTTTTTCTGTGAAAGGTGTGAATGTCTTATGATGCTACCCCAGGTGTCATTTTATTCTCATCAAGGGTCTTTCTCTTCTTTCTTAGGACACCTCAAAGGGATTTGTTCCCAGAGAAACAAAGTTCAGGTCCCCACACTGATCCTCACATCACTGAAAAACCTAATGACTGAACTGCCTTCCTGAAGTGAACATAAAGCTTAGAGGATACATTTTCTGTGCTGGGCTTGTAGAAACAGGGTTTTTTGCTTGTGTAATCTACGAGGAAGTTGGGCCTACCTTGAATGTACCCTGACAGCTGGCCCAATAGGAACCAATTGCTGGTGCAATTTGTTGTAGTAAGCTTTCTCATTGGGACCGTCAGTCCTCAAATAACACCACAGACTTATTAATTATGAAAGCTTAGCTGGGCTGTGGTGGCACATGCCTTTTATCCCTGTACTCGGGAAGCAGAGGCAGGTGGAAGTCTGTGAGTTCGAGGCCAGCCTGCTCTACAAGAGCTAGTTCTACAACAGGCAGCAAAGCTACAGAGAAACCCTGTCTCAATAAACCAAATAATAATAATAATAATTGTAATCTTGACCATAGCTTAGCCTTTTTCTCACGAGCTCTTATAATTTAATTAACTTGTTTCTATTAATCTACATTCGATCACCTGGCTTGGTTACCTTTCCTCCGTCTCCCATGACTTCTTCTGCTTCCCTTTGGCCTCTCCAGAGTGCCCAGATGCATTCCTCTCACTTCCTGACTTCTCTCTGCTGGGAATCCTGCCTATCCTCTTCTGCCTAGCCATTGGCCATTCAGACCTTTATTACCCCAGTCACAGGAAGACGTCCTCACACGGTGTACAAATATCTGACATTTCCCTTCTTTACTTAAATAAAAAGGAAAAGTTTGAACTCTATCGTAGTAAAACTGTATATAAGAACAATTCTCAGGTGAGGATTACATTCATAATGTTCGGGGCATTTATATTTGCAACATTTGGAGAAAGTACTGTATTATCCATCTCATCTTGATGAGTCCAAAGTTTTATTTAGAACCTAAATAATGATCCACCATAACTTATATTACCATCCTAAATACATCTTTTTAGTCCTTAAGACATTTTTTAGATACACAACTTAAGGGTTTATGTTTTTTTAACTTGTAAACTTACATCTCTTATGAAATTCCTTTTCTGAATTTGGTAACAAGGAAAGCTGTAACTATAATTATCTAGATTTCAACCCCATCAAAGAACAGAGAAGGATATAATATTACCTTAGTAAACAGGAAGTGCAGAGCAAACAACTTCCAAACAATAGAAATGACAAAGACAGCAGGCTGCCTGGATAGCCACCTAAGTTCCTCTGCGGTGGTGGGGCATCCATCTTCAGTCTTCAGGCCTGGAGTGTCTTATAGACTTTTTTGTAAAACAGGAATTTGAAGGATTTCCTACCTTGTCTTGGCAAAGTGCAGCAGTTACTTTCTTCTGCCTTCTGTTTATCCAATTTGGACAGCGTGCTTTCAGCAGTAGGGGAAAAGGAAGTTTCTTGCCCAGTGACTACCTTTGCCACATTGGAAGTTAACTCCATATGGAGGTTCTTTGATACTTAATCATCCTATTTTGAAGTAAATTGGTACTGCCAGGAGCCGACTTGTCCCATTGTCATGAAAAACTTTATATTAGTAAAAGATCTTATATGCTATATTCTGTAGATCTCTGAAGTGTCTTGAGACCATCTATCTACCTAAAATATGTTTGACCTTGAAAACATACATAACATGACTATAAGTTTGTTTGTTATAGAAGACTAACTACTAACCTGCATTCCTAATTGCTTTAAGTACTTTATAATAACAGCTTTTCAAGGGCTAGAAAATTACATTACATAATCTAATGAACTGCATAGGTACAATACCTTAAGCAAGTATAGAAACATATATACCATAACAACATCAAATTTGTGTCAATATACAAATGTCCATACCAATGTAAAATATATGAGACTAAGAGTTGTTTTTTTACTTTAAAAGTAGATTCACCGATCGAACCTTTTATCCTATTTTTTCACTTTTATACACTCTTTATAATTATTATCTAATTGAAAATTTATATATCAATCCCAGTTCCCACTCCATCCCTGTTCCTGCTCCCTCTACCTTCCCCTGCACTCTACCCCACATCCTTCCCATGTGGAGTCAACAAAATCTAGCACATGGCTTTGAGGCAAGACCAAGGCCCTGCCCACTGTATCGAGGCTGTGCTAGGTGTCCTTCCAAAGGGAATGGCCTCCGAAAAGCTGGTTCAAGCACTAGGGATAAACCTTGATCCCACTGGCAGTGGCTCCACAGATCGTCCCAGCCATACAACTGTCACCCACATTCAGAGGGTGTAGTTTAGCCTTAGGTTGGTTCCCCGACTGTCAGTCTGGAGTCAGCTAATGGAGTCCCATTAGCTCAGGTCATCTGTTTCAGTGGATATCCCCATTATGGTCTTGACCCCTTTGCTCATATTATCACTCCTCCCTCTCTTCGACTGGACTTTGCGAGCTCAGCCCCGTGCTTCACTGTGGATCTCTGCATCTGCTTCCATCAGTTGCTGGATGAAGGTTCTATGGTGACAATTAAGGTGGCCATCAAGCTGATTGCAGGGCAAGGCCAGTTCAGGCTCCCTCTCCACTTTTGCTTAGGGTCATCCTTATGTGTTCCTGGGCATTTCCCTAGAGCCAGGTGTCTTGCTAGTCCCAAAAGGACTCCCTCAATCAAGATATCTCTTTCCTTGCTCTCCTTCTTTCCCTCATCTCAACAATCCTGTTCCCTCATGTCTCCTACTCCCTCTCTTTCTCTCCTCCTTTTCTTCTCCCTCCTTTCTACACTCCCCATGCTCTCAATTTTCTCAGTAGATCTTGGCTATTTCCCCTTCCCTGGAGATCCATGTATGTTTCTGTTTGGGTTCTCCCTGTTACCTTACTTCTTTGGGGTTGTGGAATATAGGCTGGTTATCCTTTGCTATGTGCCTAATATTCACTTACGAGTGAGCACATACCATGTTTGTCTTTCCGGGTCTGGTTTACTTCACCCAAGATGGGTTAATTTTTTTTCTAATTCCAGCCATTTGTGTGAAAATTTCAATATGTCTTTTTTTTTCTACTGAGTAGTACTCTAATGCGTAAATGTACCACATTTCCTTTATCCATTTTTCAGTTGAGGGGCATCTAGATTGTTTCCAGGTTGTTACTAATATAAATCATGCTTCTATGAACATAGATGAGCAAATGTCCTGAAGTATGATTGATCATCCTTTGGGTATGTGCCCAAGAGTTGTAATGATGGGTCTTGAAGTAGATAAATCCCCAGTTTTCTAAGAAAACTCCATACTGATTACCATAGAAAATGTACAAGCTTTGCACTCTGACCAGCAATGGAGGAGTGCTCCCCTTACCCCACATCCTCTCCAGCATAAACTATCATTGGTGTTTTTGTTTTGACCTTAACCATTCTAACTGGTGTAGAATAGAGTATCTAGAATGACTCTGGTGTATCTCAGAGTCATTTTGCTTTGCACTTCCCTGATGCCTAAGGATGTTGAGTATTTCCTTC